TTTAGTATAATCCGCTCAAAGTCTGACTTGTTGCCATCCCTATTCATAAATCAATAATCACCTTGAGTAGATATTTGACTAGAGTAAGAGAAAGTTTTAAGAACGTTTTAAACTCGTATTATTTATTATGGAAAATGATTAAAGGAGTGTATAATTATTAGGACTGTACTATTTAAGAAGCTATAAATAAAAATTGTAAGCTAAATAAAAAGTAAACTACTCCAATTAAAGCATATTTTTGTCATTATTTACTATTTAGTTCTTAATTAGGGTATGTTCGCATTTGTTGAACTGAACTGAAGTGAATAGAGATGAAATGAATATTTTATGAGAGAAGAAAATTGGGGAGCTGAACTGAACTGAACTGATTGGAGTTGAATTGAACTTAAGCTGAACCCTTACTCCGTATCATTTTACCTTTTTGTTACAAGTAGTAAAATACAGTTTGTCAAAGTTCAAACCAGTTAAACACCAAAATAATATGATAATGTCCAACAAAACCTACTTCAACTTGTCTAAGAAGGATAGAATTGAACATATCCTGCTTCTTACGTGAGCTCAAATTGGCTAAAAAATTAACCATCCCCCCACCCCCCCCCCCCCCCAACACACACACACACACAAAGACTAACCAACGGCTTGTCCTATCTTAAGAGGAGACCGTAGTTGAACCCTTCATGCTATCACGATATATGCAAGGGTTAACAGTGTATTTATCCTAGACTCCTAAAGAAAATTCTATCTCTGAACTATGTAATAATTATAGACCTCTCATTCCCTTCTTTAGCTGAGGGCATCAATGCAAAATTACGAATGAATTGATAGAGAATTGCATGATTCTCTTTGATGGACAGTGAAGCATACGCAATTAAAAAATAACTTAGTTTACATCAATGATAAAACTCTATAATAATACGGAGTTAGGACTAATTTAATATCGTTTTTTTAGTGGTATATATCGTTTATTTTCCTATATTTAGATGTATTTATTAATCATTAAGTATGCGTCCTACGTTTAACGTAACATTTTACATGTATGTCCGTGGCCCATCTTGCTGACTTGCTCCCTAAGTTTAATGAATGACCAAAGTGGTTTTTGTTTTATGTTGGAATGGAAATGAATGAATAAAGTTAAGTCTTGCATCTTATGCTTATCCTTGAATTGTTCTTAGGCTCTATGCAACTAATTATTGTAAATTTTGGAACCTTGACTACAAATTATATTGTGCAATTAGGTGTGTTGTGTATCTCTGCACCCTTCTAATCTTGCCTTCGGATCCTAAAGGAGAAACGGTTTCATGTGTTCCTTTTTTTTATTATTTATTTTTATGCGAACGAGCCATATCATTCTAATCTTGCTTTCGGATCCTAAAGGATAAACAGTTTCATATGCGTCCTTTTTTTTGGGGGGTACGAATGAGCCATAGGACAATATAAATTACTAATGAGGCCACCATAAGAGCATTTAACATATGAGTGATATGACCTATCGTTTATCGTACATAGACTTTCAGTCTCAATGGCACATTGTAATGGTGCATGTATATAACGATGGACCTGATCTTACACCATAAACGCTACGAGTGCATGACAGCTAGTGCAACAGCGGCATATTTGGATATTACCTTCGATGCTTACATCAAAGCTTTAATTTGTTAACCCAAGTACTGTATGAGGTTTAAGTTTAATGAAAAGGAACCTTTTCATATTATGCATTTACTTCTATAGTTTATAACATGTGAAGTCAATGCCTTTTTTTTTTTTCTTATCCTATTGGCCTATTGGAATTTCGAATTTATTTTATTCATGTTGGCCTACAAGAATATTTTAATATATGTTGGGTGTGTCTTGTGAGAGAGAATATAATCAATTTTATGGTTATTATAATATTTTTTTCAGGAAATTAGAATAAAATTTAACAAACAAAAACTATAATTTTCCAACGTGGTAATGACGTACATAATTGGATTAATTAAGATACGAGGTCTTGGGTATTATATTTGATGTGGATGGCTTTTGTTGAAATTCTTTGATTAGTGACCTCTCGATAATTAGGATTATATTAAAACTACTCCCTCCGTCTACAATTATATAAGTAAAAAATCTCCTGACCAAAAGAATCGTGAAGTAAGAGAATGAGATTAATCATGACCATAGAATTTTGTAAAGCATGGATGTTTTTCATTCCATCTTATATTGATATACTCGTATCCAAAAGTTGAGGATCATTTGATTTGGCATTGAAAGCTAAGTTCTTCACTTGGTGATTTTCAACCGATTGATGATCACATGGTATGATTATCTTTATAGAATACGTAGTCCATTAGGTAGCATGCTTATGAATTATTTGGCCTTTAATGTAAATGCATGTTCAACACATGTGAAAGAATTGAATTTAAAGTTATGATGCCCTAGCCGAAGTGAGTGTTACCCTCTTTAAGGTAATGCCCAAAAATTTGGAGGAGCTCATATTAGATTTCAGAGATAACAAAATAGTCCATTTCATACGGCAATGCATGGTTCGTGCAGGCGGATCCACGATCCACATGATGCATGTCTTCCAAAAAAAAGCGGAAAGAACATTGCATAGAAATATAAAGAACATTTAGTTTAAGTGAAAAGAACATATTATAGAATTGTAAAGAACATTCCGTTATAGTGCAAAGAACATGTTATAAAATTGTAAAGAACATAACGTGCAATTAAATAATGTTCTTTATCTTCATGTTCTTTGATTGTCAGAATAATGTACTTTTATTTGTGACATATGTTAATTGTTTAATTTGAAATGTTTTTTGAATTTTGTCTTTAGATTATGGTGGTTGAATAAAAATAATGTTCATTACATTATATTATCATTAAAGGTGATAAAAATTCGGGTCGGGCTGGGCTATAACATAATATCTCGTGTCCAAAAAACCCGAAAAATGTAGTGGGTTTTTCGGCTTTTTTTCGGTCCGAGTTTGGATTTTTTAACTAAAAATGCATTTTTAGGCTCGTCTAAACCCGCCCTATTTTCGGGTTGGATCGGGCTGGGCCGGGTAGGGTCGGACCAAAGTTGATTACCTCTAATTATCATGTTTTTAATTAATATTACGGATGTTCTTTAGATATATATAAAGAACATGAAGTTGGATGTTTTTTTTACAAAATAGGTATATGTTCTTTATAAAACAACTATATGTTCATTACAATACAACTATATGTGATGTTCTTTATCAAAAAGCTATATGTTCTTTACAAAACAAATGTATGTTCTTTACTGGACAACGGAATGTTCATTCCGCGTTTTTAAAGAGAAAACGGATACACGGAGCATCGTGCATCCGCCTCCATAGAAAAAATTTCATTCATACGGAGTAATTTATTGGTGACACACTAAATGAGTTTTGTAGTACGAGTAATTTTTTACAGGAAATAAAGTTTTATACTTCGTACTTCATACGAGTAGTATTTAAAAGATGGTTGGTGATGTGGTACATAACATTTTTGTATCCTAGACATTTGTAGTAGTAATACATTCTTTTGGCTTTCGGTGTTATTTAAAAGCTTATTGATTAATTTTCCAACACTCTTTAGATACGTGATTGAGTTTACTCTTACGAGTATTTTGTTTTTCTTCAATTTGTGATCACAATTATGAATTATGAGATGAAGTATTGTAAATTGGTGCTTGGTAGGAAAAGGTTCTAGGGAAGATCATAACCATGCAAGAATCCAATTTAGATGATGCAGGAGGCTGGAGGTTGTATGCATTCATGTATCATACAGTAGAAGAATTCAAATGCAATAGTTCAATTTTTGTGTGCCATTTATTATGATATGTCTTGGACTCTTAGGACAAAGTTTGCTTATTGAAGTCAGGGAAACTTGGCATATGCTCTTTTATTGAAATCTTTGTACATATGTACTTACTTGTTTACACGTTAGCGATGTAAATTTGGGTCAATATATAGGGAACAAGTTCATCACAATCCCCTTTGGGTGTTTGAACCAAGTTAATAAGATTCTACATCCGTTCATTAAAAGATCAGATTGTCCCGTTTTCAATGTTCACTACATCAATTGTATTGAGCGAGTAGATAGATTTGTTGTTTAATACATCGGATAACAGGTAATTTAGAGAGTACATGGTGGGAATATGTTTAACTGAAAATGAAAAGGGGGAATATAATGCGGGAGACTTGAAAAGAAAAATGGAACAATCTTAAGAAATGGAGGAAGTAGATTAGTAGAACTTGGTCTTTACTAGTTAACTTCTCTCATTGTCTATTTAATTTCTAGTATTGGTTTAGTTGGATTAAAAAAAGTCCCACGAAAGAGAATATTGTTATTGAGTACTGTAGTAGTGTAGTACGTTAGTACAACTATACAAGACAATCATCATGCTATTATGGGAGACAAGAGATTAATTATGAATTTATGATGGTAGTATAAATGGATAGGATTTAGAGGGTGCATCGTGCATGGTCACTTTTTGGAATTGGTCATTATTTTTGTATTGAATTTCTTACCTACCCCCAAAACTCTAGGAGTAGAACAAACAGCCGTCATTTTTCACTGGTTCACTAAACTCTACACCTTGGTTTATTTTACCCTGGTTTTGGCTCAGGTTAGATTAGTCCGAGTCATATTTGAGTGATGAGCTATTTGTAAATAAGAAGTGTATAATTCTTTGCAGGAATGACTTTTTCGTTTTTCTTTTCTACCTTTACACAGGAAGTCCAACTTCACATATTCAAAAAGATTTTAAACAAATTTCATAAATTAGAATATCTTAAGATTTGCTAATTCCTAAAGAGTTTAACTTATGGTGTGCAACAATTGACCACAACCACTAAACTAAACTAAACTAATGTTGAGAATTAAACAGGATTATAGTTTTCCTAGTTATATACACAATGCTAGACAAAGTTTGTCATTGGATTGACCAAGAATAGAAAATTAAATAAATAAATACAGGAAAATAAAGAAAATATTTTTCTGATTGAATTGACAAGTCTTCCAATGACCAATATTACCAGAAACAAAACCAACAAGTAAAGAACGATGTCCATCAAAATCGTGCGGCGGCCCCCTTCTTGTTTATCTTTGTACAAGTAGAAATTTAGAAATGGTCAAGCTGCTTTTTTTTTGCCGGGATACTTAGCTTTAATAGTTTCATCTTTTTAAAAAAAACATCATCTTTTTTTTTTTTAACTTTATTGTGTTTCTCTCTGCTTTCTTCTGCAACTTTCATCTTGATATAATTCGGATTCTCTATTGTCACTAATTCATTTCTCTGTAAATTCTTCTTACCTACCACAAAATATAAAATTGTTTAATTTTTTTTAAAAAAAGTCCTTTCTCTTGTTCTTCTGCTTTGTAATTTTTTCATTTAGAGGTGGGTGTTGGGAGAATTTCTGAATTGTATGATGCAGTAGGAATATGATTTTGTTTTAAAGGTTTTTTTTGGGGTTTAATGAAGTGTAATTTTTGTCCTGGGTGCTAATCGGACAATCAAGGGTAAACAGTGAAGGTTTGATAAAGGAAGAATATAACAAACCAACAATTTTCTGGGTTGCTCTCTACTATTGGTATTCTGGTACTCCCTATTTTTCTTTTTACTTTGTAATTATTGGTATAATTATTTTGGAATAAGTTTATTTTGAAATCATTATTATAATATGTCAACCAAAGCTGTAGTGGATTCTTGACTGCTTGTATTTTGCTTGCTTTATTCCTGGCTATTCTTTTTTATTGAAGATAGAGTAGTTCAATGTTAAATTGTCACTTTTCATGTATATTTATTGTATACTGCATGCTGCCTTGCCTGTTTAGATCTTTACTTGGTTGACATTTTGGTTCTTGAGGATTGAATTTATGGGTCAATAGGTTGATCAGTCTTGGTTTGGATAGAAAGGTACTCATTCTCTAGGAATTTAGGATGATTGAAGTTGGCAATGAGCTTTTCCGGCACAAAGTTGGCCTGGCCAGCTGGCCTAACCTTACAATGGCATGTCCAGGCCACATGTTGTGCTTGGGTTAAGATTTTCTAAAATTAGCTGGCAATCAGGCATGATCAAGCAGGCTAGCACCAGTTTTAATGATGATGATGCTTTGGCATTATTGCGAGTATAGAACGTAGGGTATGAATATATGATGTAGTGATGATAATGAGTTGCTTGTAGCTTGGGCAATGGCACAGAAATTTATAGCTGCTTGAAAGTCCATCTAGCCCTCTAGTCCAAATTATGATTCAGGCTCATCACTCATGTCTAGCGTAGGTCTAGTAAGAGCTGGAACAAATTTTATTGATGGATTGGATAATGGGTTGCATCCATTGGTTTCCTTGTATGGTTGGTCTATCTGTTTCAACAAATCCCAGGAAACTTCTGGAGTTCTTGCTATGGTTAAATGTGTTATTTATACCTCGTTAGTCAATGTGCTACTTGACTTGCTGTGCATCCCTCCTTGTGTGATTTAACTTTATGTGAATGACTGATGTGCATCAAAATCCAATCTTTTTCCTGAATGCTCAAATAGACACATGTAATTTCACTAGTTTGGTGTTGAAAAGTGAAAACTATGCATTATTTCAGAATTTGGTCTTAACAATATTAGCCACCCTAATTCAATTTTTGATCCAGGACATGGGATCTGATGTCTCTGAAGTGCAGGAAAAATCAACACAAACCCTTTCTATTAAGGTAATTACTAATTAGTATGCAGTTCTTGTTTTGTTTCATCTTCAGTTGTTACGCTTCTTGATTATGTTGAGTATAAGGTAATGAGTATGCAGTTCCTTTTCCATTGAGGTCAATTAGAATACAGAATTGGAAAACAGAATTTCGATGGTGAATGAAAAGTTTCTGCTAAAAAGATCTATGGAAATGGATAAATAGTTGTCTCCCTCCTCAATCAGTCTAACTTTTTGACTCATAACAATCTTCTTTATTGCATATGCAGGTGCATATATCTATGTGTACACAACTCCTGGGACTTGTTGAAATTATCGATAGTATAATTCCAGTTATTGAAGCAGCTCAACCTAGGTGCTCCCTAGGATTACAGGCACTTTCCCATTTACGCATTGCAATTGAGAAAGCCAGGGAACTTGTTCAGAATTGCTGCATGTCTAGTAAGCTGTACCTGGTATGTAAAACCAATACAACAAAAATACCTCCAGTAGATTCTCAAGCATGTAGTTCAGTGGATTAACCGGGATATTTATGAAATTTATAGTTGCAATTCCATATTTCCTGTGAGTTTGAATATGAGATTTCCCAGTTTGAATAGGCATGAAGAAGTTTATCCTTGGCTCTTTCTTTAATGATATCAACATAAAGATTTTCTATTTTATACTTCAGGCAATGACAGGGGAGACAGTAAAATCGAGATTTGAGAAAGCAAAAAATCGTATGGAGCAAAATTTGAGCCAACTTCAAAATATGGTTCCTGTGGCTTTGAAACAGGAGGTCTGTCATACTTTATTTGCTTCTTCAGCTCATGCATGTTTCTTTCTTCATTTTATATTTTTCCCATATATCGCTTTATGCTGCTGTGAAACCCACTCCTTCCATGGGCAATAAGAAGAAAGGACATCTAACAACCTCTCACACTCAGCCCTCCCAAACTCTTGTTCTGTGGTGCTAAACTGCTAATTCATGCTTAAATATTATTTGTCTGGGATAAAACCAATTAAGTAGCTATATTTTTGTTTGGCAGATGTCTGACATACTTGTTGGTCTAAGAGGTATAAAATTCTCCTTGGACTCATGTGAAGAATTGGCTGGCAAAGCATTACGAGCAATACTGCAGCAAGATCCTTCTCTTGTAAATTCTGCTGGAAATTCGGAGATAGAGTTGCTTCAGTTCGCAGCTTCAATGCTTCATCTAACGACACAAAAAGACCTTAAGATAGAAAGAAGACGCTTAAAGAATCTCCTTAATGACGTGAAAGAGGAAGGGTCAACAAAATGGAAGACTCTGAAATACCTTCTTTATCTCCTGAACAAGTATGAAAAACTTATTGTGCAAGGGCAAACAAGAAGCTTCTCAACTCAGCATGATTTAGCTTTTTCTGTGAAGTCTGATAGCGAATCTATAACAACCCAGTCTCCTGATCTTGATTCCCGTGCAGACAATTTCAACTATCTTCGCAGGCCTGACCCACCTGAGGGATTTATATGCCCCCTATCCTCAAGGTTGATGTATGACCCTGTTATGATTTCTTCTGGACAAACTTATGAAAGGGCATCCATACAAAAATGGTTTGATGAGGGTCATGATACCTGTCCAAAAACAGGGATGAAGCTATCGAATCTGTCCATTACACCCAATACTACCATGAGGAAGTTGATCTTAAAGTGGTCTATGGAATATGGCAGTGAATTTTCTGACCCAAGTATAGTTGCATCAGTATATGGCTCCCTTGAGACTTCTTCAAATTCCATCCGTAGCACTGCAAGTTCTATGAAAGATATAAATCTTCAAATAGATATAAGCAACTTATCCCTTGGATCTCTTGATAGCAGTTACAGTACTATATCACATGCTAAGCTTGAGAACAGTTTTGGCTCTATTAAGAAGTCTTCTGCTGTTGAATTTCATAGATTTCAGTTCTACTCTAGCATTAATGACATTAGAAAGCAGTTCTTATCTAATGTCAGGGAACTTCCTTGGGAATCACAGTGTACAGCTATTCAAGATGTTAATACTTATTTGAATGACTATAATCCTTCTTGTTCTTTTGTCTCTTCCGAGAATTTTCTGGATCCACTGATTTTGTTCTTGGAAGATGCTCTTGGCAAGTGTGATAAAGATGCTCAAAAAGCTGGAATTGAAGTGCTATCAACTTTTCTCCAATCAAAGAGGTGATTTTCCTCATTTTGATCTAAACGTATATCCTTCAAGGTTTTAACTAACAAGATCATAATTCTTCGCTTACATGATGTTATTAACTTCCATTGATGTATTGCAGGAAGGAACCCGCACTTTTAAATGAGGATATATATTGTCTCTTGGCTTCTTTCCTTGCAACTGAAGCTGCTGCTGAAACACTTGCCATAATGGAATTATTATCTACTGAGGTTGATTTTTTCATATTTGCAGCATCAGGTGCTCTGAATTCAATTCTCAAAATACTTGATGATAGCCACAAAAAAGATCTTCAAGAATCAGCCCTTAAACTACTGTATAGTCTTTCATCGAGAATTGATAGTTCATCGTGCAACTTAGCTCCAGATTGGATACCTATATTGGTTCCTTTCTTGGAAGATAGCTCAGTTGCTGGAACTTGTTTAGGCATTTTGGAGAAGTTGTGTCAGTTTGAAGAGACTAGGATTTCTATTGCTGAGACCCAAGGCTGCATTGCATCAATCATTAAGGTACTTGAGGATTGCAGCTACAAGGACCAAGAACATGCAGTCCGTATTCTTCTTGATTTATGTTCTCAACGCGAATATTTTTGTCAAAAGGTCATACGTGAGGGATGTATACCTGCTGTCCATTATGTATCAGTCAAAGGAAGCGACAAAGGAAAGGCAATCGCATCAGAATTGCTCCGGCAGCTGAATGAGACTAGATTTGAAGAAGAAAAGCAAGAGTGCCTTAGATCTACTGGTGATGTACCCGTGGCTTTTCATGTGGGAAATGATGCTCAAAAGTCTTCCAAATCACCTGGTTTTATCAGGAAACTCTTCAGAAAGAAGTGATGCTCTTTTCAAATGGTATGAAAGGTAACAACTTTGCTGATTCCTTAACCAAAATTTTGAAGTAAACTAATGATGTAGTTTTTTTTTTTTTAAACAACTAATGATGTAGATAAAGAGTGTCAAATTGGTTAATTTGCTACTTGCTAACTTACTACTAGTTGCTAACTGATCCATTACTGATGTAGTTGCTTCTATATGTACTGATGTATATAGCATTCATGTTTTCGGTCGGCCGTGTGAATTTTTTTTCACCTGCTTGGTATGAGGTAACAATTGTAGGTAAAATATTTAGACTATGGAACTTTGCCACTGAATTACCAAAATTACTCGTTTTAGTTACCTCCATTCATCGTCTTGTATGCTGTATCAAACGGGCCGTTAGGATAACCTGTAGTTTCTTTGTTTTGATTAGTGTATAGTTTCTCTTTGATTTGCATGAAATGGAATATCAAATTAGGGCTAAGCAAAACTACCCGAAAAATTGAAAACCCGTTTCGTTACCGTTTCGAAAATTAGGGTACCCGATCCGATAACCATAACGGTTCGGGTACCCGTTCTGATAATTTGTTATCGGGTATGGTTTTTGGGTATCATTTTAAAATTAACGAGTACCCATTCCGTTCCGATAAGCAATTATTTTGTGTTTTTTTCCTACTTAAATCTATTATCTATCTTTTCAATATTTAAACTCTTACATTACTTCATAATCACTATAAATATCAATATCAATAATTAGTAATGTTATTAATAATTTGGTCAAGTTCATGTGGTATTGTTGTTAATTAGTGTTAAAAAATATCATAATAACTAATTTTTTAAGTTTAATTATCACTATTGGATACTTTATAGGATACCCGATAACCGTTCCAAAAATTCGGGTACCCGAAGTCCGGGTACTCGAACTTATCGGTTCGGGTTATGGATATCACTTTTAGTGATATTGGTTATCGGGTACCCGAACCGTTAGTACTAACGGTACGGGTACCCGTCCCATGCTCACCCCTATATCAAATAGGATTAGGAACTTGTACAGAGTAGAGCTGTTAAAAGTTGACCCGAAATACCGACTCAAACCCGATTATTAACCGATCTATCTGAACCCGAAAAAATAGTGACCCAAACCCGACCTGAAATCAACCCTAGACCCGAGTTGACCCGAGTATGTGAGACCCAAACCCGAACATGAACTGACCTGGAGATTACCCAACCCGAATGTAACCTGTAAATTATTGACCTGAATCGAACCCGACTTGAACCGAAATTGACCCAAACCTGTTTTAACCTGTCAAAACCCGAATTTAACCCGACTTGTTAATAACCTGACCTGAATTCAACCCGACCCGTTCCTTACCCGATCCGAATTTAACCCAACTTGTTACAAACCCGACCCAAAATCAACCCGACTTGTTATTGACCTGACCCAAATTCAACCGGACTTGTTATTGACCTGATTCGAATTTTAACAGACCTATTACTAACCCGACCAAAAAATTCAACCCGATGTGTTACTAACCCGACTCAAAATCAACACGACTTGTTATTGACTCGACCTAAATTCAACCCAAATTGTTCCTGACCCGATTTCAAATCACCTTAAATGCAATTTAGACCACCTTATTATTGTTGATCAAAGCATTTTGTCTATGGAGACTAAGTCGATCTAGGCCGGCAAAAGAAAGGAGCATCATCCTCAAATTTAAGAGTTAAATTTAAGAGTTGAATTCGAATATGACCTAACTTGAAAATGACACGACCTGGTTGTAACCTGCAAATTATTGACTTAAACATAACCCGACTTGACTCCGAGAATTACTCGACTTGGAAATGACCCAACATGATTATAATCCGTAAACTATTGACTTGAACCGAACCCGACTTGAACCCAAGAATGACCCGACTTGAAAATGACCCGCCCTGATTATAACCCACAAATTATTGACTTTAACCGGACCCGACACAAACCCGAGAATGACCCGACCTGATTCTAACCCACAAATTATTGACTTGAACCGAACCCGAATCGAACCCGAGAATTATCCTAACCCGTTTTAACCTGAATAAACCCGACCTATATTCACCCGACCCAAATGTAACCCGACCTGTTATTACCCGACCTAAACCCGACCGAAACCCGATAAGAAGTATGACCCGACGTGACCCGACTCAAGCATGACCCAACCCAAACCCGACCCGCATAGGTTATGGAATTAATTCGAATTGACCCGACCTGACCCGAATTGACCCGATGCACTCTTACCGACTCAAACCCGACCCGTTTACCCAAATTGAAAGCTCTACCCAAAACCTCAAAAATTCTCAAAAAGCGTGGATATTAGCCTTTAATTTTGGAATATTTTGACTTTTTTCACCTGGAAATGAAAATTAACGAAATGTTTACTATGGTCCTTAATATCCTTCGGGAGTCCAATTTGCCTTTAAACGACCACATTACCGTTTTACAACTTGCACCGATTTCATAAACTCAAGCCTACCACAAACATTTATAACAACATATATTGATCATGTATGGTCCCAAACGACATTATATGACCCCCGAGATGTATCTCCTAAAATCTAAAGGCTTTTCGAAACCGGGTCCTGAAACCTCCAAAATTTCTCAAAAAACGTGGATATAAGCCTTCAATTTTAGATTTTTTTTACTTTTTTCGCGCGGAAATAAATATTGTCGAAATGTTTACCATGGTCCCTAATACCCTCCGGAAGTCCAATTGGGTGGGTGGAACCATCCAATTTGCCTTTAAACGACCAATTTACCGATTCACAACTTACATCTATTTCATTAACTCAAGCCTACCACGAACATTTATGACTACAAATAATGATCATATATGGTTCCAAACGATATTATATGACCCCGAGAAATATCCCCAAAAATCTCAAGCATTTTCGACACCGGGCCACGAAACCTCCAAAATTTCTCAAAAAGTGTGGATATTAGCCTTCAATTTTGGAATTTTTTTACATTTTTTCGCCCGGAATTAAAAATTACCAAAATTTTTACCATGTTCCCTAATACCCTCCGGGCTTCTAATTGGGTGGATGAAACCATTCTATTTGCCTTTAAACGGCTAATTTACCGGTTTAAAACTTTCATCGTTCACTCAAACCTACTAGAACTTATATGACAACATATAATGATCATATATGGTTCCCGACAACATTATATGACCCCGAGATGTATCTCTTTTAATTTCAATACTTTTCGATACCAAGCCCCGTAACCTCCAAAATTTCTCTAAAAGCGTAAATATTAGCCTTTAATTTTTTAACCTTTTTTTCGCCCGAAAATAAAAATTGCCGAAATGTTTACCATGATCCCTAATACCCTTTGGGAGTCCAATTGGGTGGGTGGAACCATCCAATTTTCCTTTAAACGACCAATTTAACGATTTACAACTAACATCGATTTCATTAATTCAAGCCTACCACGAGCATTTATGATAACATATTATGATCATATATGGTTCCAAACGGCATTATATGACCTCGATAAATATCTCCTAAAATCTCAAGCCTTTTCGACACCGGGCCCCGAAACCATTAAAATTTCTCAAAAAGTGTGGATATTAGCCTTCAATTTTGAAATTTTTAAACTTTTTTTTGGCCCGGAAATAAAAATTGACGAAATGTTTACCATAGTCCTAACACCCTCCGGGAGTCCATTTGGATGGGTATAACCATCCAATTTGCCTTTAAACGAGCAATTTAATGATTTACATCTTGCACCGATTTCATTAATTCAAGTCTACCACGAACATTTATGACAACATATAATGATCATATATGGTTTCAAACGGAAAAATTTGAATCCATGATGTATCCCCTAAAATCTCAAACCTTTTCGACACCGGGTACATAAACCTCCAAAATTCTCAAAAAGCGTGGATATTAGTCTTCAATTTTTGAATTTTTTGACTTATTTTCGACCGGAAAAAAAATTGACGAAATGTTTACCATGATCACTATTACCCTCTTGGAGTCCAATTGGGTGGGTGGAACCATCCAATTTGACTTTAAACGACGAATTTACCGATTTACAACTTGCACCGATTTCATGAATTCAAACCTACCATGAACATTTATTACAACATATAATGATCATATTTGGATCCAAACAACTTTATATGACCCCGAGATATATCTCCTTAAATCTCAAGCATTTTCAACACCGGCCCCGAAACATCCAAAATTTCTCATAAAGTGTGGATATTAGCCTTCAATTTTGGAATTTTTAAACTTTTTTGGCCCAAAAAAAATTGACGAAATGTTTACCATGGTCCCTAATATCCTTCGGGAGTCCAATTGGATGGGTAGAACCATCCAATTTGCCTTTAAACACCAATTTACCGATTTACAATTTGCACCGATTTCATTAATTCAAGCCTACCACGAACATTAATGACAACAAATAATGATCGTATATGGTTCCAAACGGCATTATTGAACTCCGAGTTGTATCCCACTGAATTTCAAGTCTTTTCGACACCGGGCCCCGAAACTTCAAATATTTATCAAAAAGCGTGGATATTAGCCTTCAATTTTGGAATTTTTAGACTTTTTTTAGCCCGAAAATAAAAATTGGCGAAATTTTTACCATGGTCCGAAATACTCTCCGGGAGTCCGATTGGGTTAATGGAATTATTCAATTTGCTATTAAACGGCCAATTTACCGGTTTACAACTTACCCCAATTTAATTAATTCAAGCCAACCGCGAACATTTATGACAACAAATAATGATCATATATAATTCCAAACGTCATTATATGACCCCAAGATGTATCCTATAAAATTTCAAGTTTTTTCAACACCGAGCCCCGAAACGTCAAAATTTTTCAAAAAGCGTGGATAATTAGCCTTCAATTTTGGAATTTTTAGACTTTTTTTAGCCTGGAAATAAAAATTGCCAAAATTTTACCATGGTCCCAAATACCCTCCGGGAGTCCGATTGGGTTGGTGGAACCATTCAATTTGCCATTAAACGACCATTTTACCGGTTTAAAACTTACACCGATTTCATTAATTCAAGCCAACCACGAACATTTATGACACCAATAATGATCATATATGGTTCCAAACGGCATTATATAACCCCGAGATAAAACCCATAGAATTTCAAGTCTTTTCGTCACTGGGCCCCGAAACTATTATTATTTCTCAAAAAGCGTGGATATTAGCCTTCAATTTTGGAATTTTTAGACTTTTTTTTAGCCTGGAAATTAAAATTGCCAAAACGTTTACCATGGTCCCAAATATCCTCCGGGAGTCCGATTGGGTGGGTGGAACCATCCTATTTGCCTTTAAACACCAATTTACCGGTTTACAA